TACATTTTTCTTAATTTCGAGGACAATGTAACTGAAGCATTGCAATTTCAATATTGTTTGATAAAACAACTGCTTTCACACGGAAAGGAGAACTTAATCTGGAGGTAGCTTACTGAAAGATACAGGCAATTTTCCAGCAATCCGTAGAAAATTCTCAATTCCTCTATTTATCCAAGGACTTGGAAGAAATTCCTCGAATCACCTTCCGAAATGATCCACTTTTCCCCAAGAATCGATCGGTATAATTGGAAACTTTCGCCAGTGGAACGTATGCAAATTATCGAAATGCCGTCACGGTGGTGTATTTAAAAAGCGTTCATTCTATTTATTACAACCGTGCAGCACACGCCTGACGACGCGTGTAATTTCGCGTGTGTACGCACACGCACGCAGAAGAAGGGAGAAAGAGAGAAACAGGTGGTGGAGAAGGAAGAAGACGGAAAGTGAGTAAGCGCGGAGGATGAAAAGAGACGAGGTTAGCAAGAGAGAGAAGGAACGTTGGCGTATTGATCAGAGAGAAGCGACGGTTATGCCGCGCCCTACCACCACCACACACTACACCACCTCCGGAGTTTCCACCACCATACAGACTATAGACCGTAGAATCCACCGATTGCCATCGACGAGAACTTTTCAAACAGCGGCACAACTTCTAATTCGTTGTTAACACCTCCTCTGTCCAGAAGGATAATCGAGAATGACACACACATCGTGGGCAGACGGCGGTGATAAAAATCAATCCAGGACGATTTTATGGCCTCTGTTGTGGAAAGGGGATGAAAATCTGACCGCGAATCGTTGGCATGAATGAACCCCACCGTGGATCAATATTCTTCGATCTTGCACGCTTCGATTTGGCCCAATTTTCCTTTTTTTTTCACCGAGATTTTCGGGTGGAGAGGACGTAGACGAAGATACGCGATCTCGCATTGCTATTTTTAGGTTTCTTCTGTCGTTGCATGGGATATTGATTTTTTTTTGTTAAACTTGGGGAAAGTTGAGCTGATAAAAATGGTAATGGGTCGTGGAGTGAAAACAAATTCTGACCGAGAGAAAGAGCGAGGGGGGAAATAATAAATGAATAATTGTGATTTCGTTTGAGCCCCTCCCCCTCGAAAGGGGTCGAGCACGAGGAGAAATAAAAAATTGCTGACTCGTTACGGGGAGAGAATAGAGGTGGTGGGTTGTTTAATGCCAAGTGCACTCCGGTCTGAGAGACGCCCTAGACTCTTTTTCTTTTAAGACAATACACGCCGCTGTTGCATGTAGAACTGTTGCTTTGTCCTCGACGTGTACCAGAGATCGCCAGGGAAACAACGCGAATTTTCAACTATGGATTTTACGTAGGCCAGGTAACGACAGGTGTGTGAACTTAACGAGGACTGTGAAATTTCAAGTTGTGTAGAATATATTAAGGTTAAACGAGAGCCACCGCCCACTAGTATCACCAGTTGCTATCTCTGACGGTTTTTAGATAACTCATTGACAGGAAATTGTCGCGATATGAAATTCCGTGCCACGTGATTAGAGTTGACATCGTTACACGAGCTGAACCTAACAAATCTTTCGTTCCTTTCACGTACATAATTCTTCTCGGGCAATTGTAAGTCATTTTTCGTGATAATTCCTTTATTTATCAGTCGTATTATTATATCTGCAATAAATTATAGCATTAGGTTATGCTGTAAGAAATCCGCTTTTCTGGAGAACCAGTAAACTCTGCTTCTTATCTTTCAGCACGAACTTACACAATGATCTAATACAATAATTACACTACAGCACTGCATACCAGCAGTATCTGCACTCGAAAGGACAAGAACGAAGTGATCGGTGAAAATTTGATCGACCACGTTTATGCCAAATTTTTATTTAATACTTCCATCTTTAAAATTGGCTCCATTTTCCTGATATACAGGTGTACCAAAAATCGTGGCACACTCTGTACACGCTTAATCCAACATACAACATAAAATATCACATGGAACATAATCTTCGTCTCAAGATTACTCTTACAAGATAAAAGAAATATGAATTGAACTTACTCGAATGGCATTCCTCAGCGCTTCCGACTCCTGACGAAGGGTTTCGAGTTCGCTCATGATGCCTGTCTAGTGATCCTCTAAGCGTGAGTACCCGCGAAGGGCGGAGAAAAGGGTTGTCTCTCTCTCGGAGGAGGAGGAGGTGATACACCTCCAACGAAGCCTAGAAATCTGGTTGTTTTATCGAGGAACGAGGTTACTCCTATCTCAGTTTCCTTCTCCAATGAAGGTAATCTGGGGCCCGGTGTCACGCCGACGACGTTTCTTCTGGCGGCCAATGGATATTCTCAAGCTGACCACCGCCAGGAACAGGAAGGGTAGAAAGAATAACTAGCTCAAGACAATCTAATCTCCTCCTCGAGCCAACCTCGTAAGCAACAGCCTCTCCCCTCAGCCCTTCTCTCTGATCTGTTGCTGTTGTCGCGGCTTCCGTTTCCGCCGCTACCACCGGAACCAGAGCCAGACCACCGCTGACTCTCCCGCCCCACGCGCCAGCTTCGACACCTTCTAGCGAGACCGTTGCCACCCCTGAAACAACAATTACACAAATTTCCATATTAACGCTCCGGATCTCACATTTTTTCTTTCCATATTAACGCTCCGGGTCTCAGATTTTTTCTTTCCAAATTAACACGGTAAACTAAGACGGTCCACGTGATTTACTTCGATTCGCGTATACTCGCGTGTGTAACCACTAGCAGAAACAGAAGCAGGACACATTCGTGTCACGGACAGCGTGTTTCTTCGTTTGTGCATTAATGGAGCGTCGTTAATCTTCCATTGTCGAGTGACAAAGCGCAGCACCGTTCTCAATAGGTTGTACCATCGATGATCAACTCTTATTTTTCCAACGCCTCTGTTTTAACCGAGGGAAAAAAGCTTGAAACTCGGTGTACGCAACAACGTACACGCCGTTTCAGCCTAGCTATTTTTAACTAACGAATCACACGGATTACCAGCAAGCTTTCAAACCGGAATACCGTCCGGCGAACCTTTTAGAAAGTCCTGCAAAAAGGACGAGGAGAGACGTCGAAACGTATCCTCTCCGAAATATTCGATAGTTTCATTAACAGCGGAATTCGGTGGCAACGAGTGTCCTTCACCTCCAAAAGGTCTCGCAACCCGGAGAATCCGAGGGTTGTCGATCCAACGCAAGGTGTTCTCATTTTCCGGAACCAAGGCGACTCCGTAGCGCATGTGCAATCGCTTCAAACCAACTACTACAACGTCAACTACCTCTCAAAAAGAAAAAACGAAAACCTCCTCGAACAGAAAAACCTACAACACTCCACGTTAATGAAAATTCCGTCACAGATCAATCCTCTGGCTACCCAAGAAAAATTCTTCAATCGCAACCGAGAACATCGAGCAATTTGCAGGAAGAAATGGTGACAAGATCTATCTCACTTACCCGCTCCGTCCGCGTTCCACTGCTGTCAGAGCGTCATGAATCTCGAGCAAACATAACCTCTCCGCGTGCAGGATTCGCGCAGAGGGCAAAGAGTAGCCTCTCTGAACTCGTGTTCTACCGCCAGATTGCGCCTTAGATGAAACGCCAGCAACTGTCCAACAGCGAAGCGTGTCACACCACGTATGTCGGAAAACGTAACGGGGATAGATAGATAGATAGAGAGAGAGAGAGATAGAGGAAAAGAAGAGGAAAGGTTAGGCTTTTCCTAGGAGGAAGAGGCAGCAGGCAGCACTCGCGTGCACACGTACCGGTGAAATGCGCTCATTGGTGCGAGCTCTCTTTTCATGCCTGGTTCACAGAACCGTGGAAACGACGAATCGATGAACACAGTCGTGGCTTGCCCCTCTCTCTCTCTCTCTCTCTCTCCCCTTCGAGCTTTCACCCTCTCCTTTTCCCTTCCGTTTCTCTGTCGCACTATTGGCTGCTACAGTACTCCTTCCTTGTCCGACCAATCGACGTACGGTAGAAGAACAGGTGTATCTCGCGCGTGTGTGCTTTTTCGAAGGGAATGAATTATTAGGGGGGATTTTTTTCGAGAGGGACGAAGAGAATTGTGGGTGATGTGGAGGATAGTTGGAGATGGTTTGGAACCACACCCAGGGAGGACGTGGTTTCGAGAGAAGACCGCCTGGGCGGATGAAACGAGAAGAGAGAAGGGATAAGCGACGCTGGCGCCGCGGCGCCCGCGTACCGGCTGACTACCGGCGTCGACGCGACGCCATTGCCGGCTGTGTGACAGGTTGTCGTTGGCGGTAGCATGTTCTGACATTGTGCTGGGTAGTTTCTTTTGCGAGATGCTTGAATTGGCTGGCAGTTACTCTATGGAAGCTTTTTCAGGGGAAGGATTCGGAGCAGATTTCATCGCGATACAGCAATGTCGATAGAAAGTCTCGAAGAAGTAGACTTCGTAAGGGATGGACAAAGTCATTTTTTCGAGAGAATGTAATTAACTTTGTTTTCTAAGAAATTTTGGGGCTACTTTAACACGTTCCGTGCCGCACCGATTTTCGGTGACTTTCCGTTCACGCCGCGTGGGTCCTATGCGTCCCACATTGTCCAGACTAACAGTTTTGCTTTTCGCCCTATGTGTCTTCCAATACTTATAAGATTGCAAAAATCATTGTTATCGAGAAAAAGGTAACGTTTAAGACATGCTATAGAGCAAAGGAAAAATTTTTGTTTCAACAAATTATGGCCGAAATATCAGATGGCCTAAACGGAAAGACCAGAGTGGGGCGTATGCGACCCACGCGGCACGGAACGTGTTAAACAATGTACACTGTCGACAGAAATTTTTGAATCAGTAGGGAAGTCTTCGGTCGGAGTAACTTTTTCATGGGAATACGAGTAACTCAGTTGTCTAAGAGATTTTGGAGTTACTTTAACCCTTTGCGATCGGTGCCGCCATAGTGGCGGCATTTCAATTTTGTTCTAGAAATCGGTGTCGCCGCTATGGCGGCATGATCTTTGTTTTGTCAAGTATCATACTTTGGAAAATTACAAAAATTAAAACGTTTTACTTTTATACACTATAACTAGTATGTATTAAACAAAATGTATCAGTTTCAAAATATTCTGTTTTTCAATATCCTTATATATATAATAAATCAACTATGCAAAAATAACTTTAAAAATCTAAATTTGCTCCGACTAGCTGATAGTCCCAACCAGAGAAATGTGCCGATCGCAAAGGGTTAATCATGATACACCGTAGATAGAAAGTCTCGAAGAAGTAGACTTCTTAAGGGATGGTCGAAGACATTTCTTCGAGAGAATGTAATTAACTTTGTTTGCTAAGAAATTTTGGGGCTACTTCAAACAAGGTACACTATCGAAGAAAAAGTTTTGTAGAATTCTTAAGGGATGGCCAAAGTGATTCTTTCGCGGGGGGGACCGTTTGAAACAATATACACCATCGATCGAACGAATTTTCTATCGTTCTACTTGGATAGTTGTGACTTGAAAGCAGTCCACTACTCAGATATTAATTGGATAACAAGCGAAAGGAAAATTGGGAGTCTGAGGCACCGTTGAATTTTCCACCAAACAAGTTAATTTCGGAACGGAACCTTCTGAAGGGTAAATAAAAATTAGATAGGAGGCAATTTGAAGCGTTATCTAGAATCCAGAGTATCGCGCAGCACGCCAAGTGCTAGAAAATTCCATTAATCTTCAAGAGGCTGATATACACGTCCACCACGTCGTGCAAACGAAACCAGTACACATCCATCCTCTTACAAATTCGCAACTACGACACATCCACGTCCTAACAATCTAAGAATGCCTAATTAATAGCCCATTAACCCCGTAACAGTTCACTGCATCTCGGGGACGTTCCTCATTGGCACATGCCTACCATCCTTCGAGAAATACCACGAGAACGCTGTGACCCATAAGTCCAGCGATGTTTCAAACTTGTCTTCAGAATTTCTTTCAGAAAATATCAAAATTTAGGCAACTCAGGCAAGATCATATTATGGGACTGTGGAGTGGCAAACTCGGAGACAGGGGGCTAAAGATGGCACAGAAACGTTCGACCCAAATATTCCACTAATCTCTCTTTTATCAAGCGAGATTTCCCTTCGTATTTCGCTGTCTATGTCATACCGAAGGCATTCGAGGATGGAGGGGAATCTGTCTGACAGAAAGACTCTTCTATCATCGGGATCCCTAGGCCTTCCTCCACGCGTTCCCGGATGCGCGAATGGGAGCAACAGTTGAACCACGCGGGTCAACGTCCAATGCGATCTCTCTCTCTCTCTCTCTCTCTTTCTCTGTGTGTGTGCTCTCCCCCATCTGCTTCGAGCCGGCTGTATGCAACCGCGAGGCTGCCAAGTATATACCTCACACCAAGTGTGCACTTCGTCCAAGTCCCTGGCATGGCCCAACGGTCTCTAGAACGGCGTTCAAGAATGGGAGAAGCCGCGAAAGGTCTAGCCGAACGCGCGTCGACGGTTGTCGTTTGGACGCCTGTTGGAGTTGCACCTGCCGACACAGACCGTTCCGAACCGTCCACTGTAACCGCCTCTGTTTCCAGGAGGAAGTCGGACGGTTACCTGTCCAACGAAAGCTATTAGGTCGTCCCGAATGCGGAATATGTTTTAACCAAGACCCGAGGAAATTCTACGGTGCCGGTATAATGGAACGTATTAAGAAGATATCGAGTTTCTGCCGAAAGCGAAAAATATCGAAAATCCAAGGAAAAAATTCTATGGGATGTCCCAATAGATACTACAGTTTTCCTTCGTTCCCTTGGAAAGTATGGATTTCCTTGGAGGACTGTTAAAGGGTTAAGTTCGTCGAGTGAAGAATGAGAAGGCTAAGTTAATTATTCAACTTTGCAAAAGAGCACGATTACTATTATCGAGGCTTTCAGGTATAAACTGTATCCTTATGAAAAAAGTATCCCTATATTACTCTCCTTAAGAGTAGGAACACTCTCTCCATAGAGCCACTTGAAACACCTGAATAATAATAATCGCTAATGTCTCGATTTTTGATACTCCAGCCCCTAACCCTGTATCCAGAGGCGAGAGAGGATAAAATTGGAAGAGTGTCGATGCTCCTTATTCCGACAGAAAAGTGTGCTCAATTATACAGAGACCTAAATTGACTTCTCTGGAACTCTCTGTTACATAATGGAGAGAGACAGCGAATAGTCACGCGTGAAAAGCGACGAAACACAGAGGCTAACGATATTAATTACCAACTATTCTTAGGTAAAGAGGGTTCGTTACCGTGGGACCAGCCGCGTCTATGGTACGATATTGTGGTATTACAGCTGATGACTGTAATTCACATCAGCACGACCTACTTCTCGATCCACCTAGAATCAACGAGGGATCAGCAGCTAGCGAAGTTAATAAACTTCTCATTATCAATTCGAAACGACGCGATAAAAAAGAGAGAGAAAAGAAAGACACACACAAATCTTCCATCGCAAGATTCGAGACTTTATCAAACTTTCGGAAGTCTCTCTCTGGGGACAGTAGGTGCATAAAGAACGTGTCCCGCTTAAAATAAGCCGTGACGCAAGCCGATCGATCTATCAATCAAT